AACTTCCAAAGGGCCCATTAATGAATATGTTGAAAATACAACCAACTTCTTAAACTCAAAACACAGAATTTCACTATTCAACAAGTTTCCCAGAGTAAGGTTTAAGCTTAAGTTCATAGGCCAAAAATCCACAAAGTTTACGCTGTAGTTTCTCATCACTGTAAGACTCGCCACATACCCAAAGGACCATTAGAAAGTCCTGGATGTATGCTGTGTCCTGCTCTAAAAAGGGCACAGTTTATTCTAACTATGACTATGTATAACTAAACAAACTCCTCTACAAAAATAAAAAAGAAAAAGTGTAAGTAAAAATATTACAGTGGATTAAGGGATAGAGGATTAAAGGGACTATTTCAACAGCTTTTAACAAACTCAGCAGATTCAAAACTTGAATTCAGGTCTCAACCTATCTTTCAGGAGGAAACTGCTGAAAGTGTACAGTGAGTGTAACTTAGGTTTTCTCTATAATATTGAAAGAGATAAACGTGCTCCTCCCTGTGGTGTTGGTTACACAGTGTTTGCCTTGCATTTTTATTCTCCAGCTTATTTTCTTGTGTCCAGAAGGCTGATTTCCATGGGGAGAGTCAATTGCATTCCCTCCCCAGTTTCAATTTTGCTGTTAAAAAGCATCAGAGGGAGATCCGAGGAGGAAAAGCAGAAAGATCAGGGCATGTATTCCTCCCGCCCCACCCTGGCTGGAGTTCAGGTCTGACAATGTCTGCAGCACTAGCACTATAGCACTGAGGGCCACTCTATCCCATGCACAGTTCTTGACCAAGCTCCAATAACACCATTGCCTCTGTTTGTTCCATCAGGTCTAGGAGTGGAAAAGGCTCTCCACTCTTGCTAGTCCCTAGGTGTCTACGTATCCCTTGCAGGTTGTTACCTCTTCCCAGGCCTTGGTAAACAGTCACTCATTAAGAAGCTTCCTTGAAAAATCCCAACTAACAGAGCGTGCCATGTGTTTTATCCTAGGGCCCTGACTCTGAATGATATAAATTTGTCTATCTAAATTGAAAAGCTTCTTTCACCTCCTGCTCTTGAATACAATTACATGCATAACCCTGTGGTTAGACAAAGAATAAGCAAACACTGAAACTAAAATGCAAATGTGCACTGGAGAACTGTAACTCAAAGCTGCTACCAAAATAATTTCTACAACACATAAGTCCCTCCTGCACTTAGGAGATGAGTCTACGTATGTAGACATGTGGTTTTCTTAACAAGAGCTTCTTCTTCTGTGTTTAAATCTCAGCCCTCTCTCTGGTGTGGAGTCTGACTTTTTGGGGGTCTTGATCTTCTCACTTACCATATTCCCTGCTGAGCCCTCCAGGCAAGGCAGTGATTCAGGAAAGACCACTGACGGTGCAGATAGTACACAGTTTTGTTTCCACTGGCCAGCTGGTGGGGAGTCCTGCTATTCAGAAGGGGAATTAATTCTTTATTTTTGGTTTAGAGAGATGTTTGCCAATTACTAATTAACATGTGTGTGACACATCCTGAGAATTCCAAACATTTAATTTTTTAAAGGAGTATAAATTTAAACTTAACTTCATTATATAAAAAAACTTCCTTCTACTTCCTCAACCTCGTTTTTTTGAAATATTTTACTTTAGAAATGGCAAGTTTTCTCAAAGATTGATGCAAAGCTCATGTCAAAATAGAGCTCTCAATTTTATTTCTACTATTTTAACTATTTTATCTATTTTTAGTTTTCCTTGTCCATTAGTTCTGTGATTTAATATACTATTTTACTTTAAAAGATTTTCCCTTGCCAGTCAAGTAGTATTCCAGAGAATACATGAGACAATACACTTTTGAAGAAAACTACTAAACGAACAATTAAAACTCTTTATGGGTTTTCTTCCATGTATCAATTACTATTCTATACATGAAATAATAAAAATAAGCTTTGGAATGAAAGTATGTAAAAAATGTTAATACAAATTCTAAGTATGGGGTAATCAGTCTTCAGGTAATTGATAGTTGCCTATACTTACATGCTTTGTCATCTATCAATCATTTATTCAACAAGTATTTTCCACAGCTCCTATAAACAAAGCATTTTAAGGGCAGTATTAAAAGCAAACTATTTCCCTGCCCTAAAAGTCTTCATAATTGATTTCAGAAGAGAAAGGTACTTTCTTGGGAGCGCGGGAGGTGGACAGAGTCTCGCTCTGTCGCCCAGGCTGGAGTACAGTGGTGCAATCTGGGCTCACTGCACCCCCACCCTCCTGGTTTGAAGTGATTCTCCTGCCTCAACCTCCTGAATAGCTTGGACTACAGGTGCCCACCACCACACCTGGATAATTTCTGTATTTTTAGTAGAGATGGGGTTTTACCATGTTGGCCAGGCTGGTCTCAAACTCCTGACCTCAGGTGATCCGACCACCTTGGCTTCCCAAAGTGCTGAATTCCAGGCATGTACCACCATGCCTGGCCTCTGAGAAAGGTGCTTTTTAAGGAGCTGCAACGATCATGGCAAGTAAGAGTTCCAAGCAGAATGAAGCCTCTTTCTGGTAGTGGGAAGTGGGGCTTCTGGTCTCAGCCAATGATCAATTATCACTGACAGGAACCATGAGAC